CCCTGAATATAAGACGACCGCGTTTTTTCAGATGTATTTCCAAGAAAAAAATATCGTCTTATATTCGGGACAATACGGTATTTAAATAATTCTGATAGCAATCATGTGACAGTTGAAAAAAAAAGTTACTAGGTTAGATTTTCTTTATGAGGTCCCATGCTCCCTCTTGTCCTTTGGTCTCAAGGGTATATAGCTTTGCTTTATTTTATTTTATTTTATTTTAGTTTAGTTTAGTTTAGTTTAGTTTAGTGCTGTCAAATGATTAATCACGATTAATCGCATCCAAAATAAAAGTTTTTGTTTACATGATATATGTATGTGTACTGTGTTTATTTATTATGTATATATAAATACACACACATACTGTATATATTTTGAAAATATTTACATGTATGTACATTTATATATTTATATTATTATATTTTTTATTTTATATAAATATATTTAATATATAAACATAACATATTTTTCTTAAATATATACATGCATGTGTTTGTAATTATATATACATAATATACACAGTACACACTCATATATTATATAAACAATGCGATTGATCGTTTGACAGCACTATTCTATTTTATTCTATTCTGTCTGTCATTAGTAAATGATTTGCAATTGTGTACTTGCTTTTAATGCCCTTAGTTAATCAGGACATTATTTCCCTGCTGCCCCAGAGTGTTAAGTCACATGGAATTTACAGTTCAGGTTATTGGCTCAAAATTTTTTCCACAACGATTGCCCATGAAGGAAAGCTGGTCTGCATGTGCCAGCTGAACAACTTTATGATGAATGGGACTGCTAACTGACACTCAGTGACAGGCCTCTGAACTGCATATCTGTCATTTCCATATTCTAAAACTGGGTGATCATTATGGTAGTTAGTATGTTAGTCTAGCATGTGTCCATAATTATTACCTTGTCTAACTGGTTGTTTTGTTAGTGACTAAGAATAAAAAGTAGATTATTAGACGACTTGAGAGTTTGATGGTTTTGCTGTTCTTTTAGGATGTTAAAACAGAAAAGATTCAATTTGTTATTCATGCTTTCTTACAGACCCAAAGGACACAATCAGCTTGGCTTAAATGCTTTGCTACATCTCATTATCAGTTTTGTATATTTACTACTTTCAGCAGTTACATGCTCCCTCAGGACACCTACTGTAAGACAGAAGCAATACATATTTTATCTTCTTTCCTTTCTTATCTAGAGCATAATAGTTATAAGAATAATACTATAGAGTCAAAATTGCTACACTTCATATACTGTACTGTTGGTAAACTATATGAGTAAAAGTATTTCAGGGAAAAACAGCTATTTTAGTTGCTCTTTTTTTGACTTGGCAGAACAGGACTGCTGCAGACCTCCTTGAATAGAGACAGCAGATGTCCATCATTTTGTGCAGCTACCAGATTCCTGACATTTCAAGGCACATATTTTCATAAAACGTTGCCTACCTAGACTTTTCACTCCCTTGTGTACCAAATGAGGCCATTTCAAGCTCTTTATTAATTCACTGTTAACCCAAGTCAAGAGCTACTTTGGACCTTCTAACCATAATGAATTTATTATCTAATATCAAATTTATGTCCAGAGTCACTCTAGCACTCATTCTGTAGCAATTTGTCAGTGTCAAATATCATTATGTGATTTTTCACACTGAGCTGCTTTATACAGAATTGCACAGGAGTATTGTGAATGGTCTGCCTATTGTATAACAACATTATGTAATCTGAATGTATGCAGGAAAAATTAGTTTTTTGCATCAGGCTCATTGCATATAGTGATGCATACATTAGCATTATTTTCTTTTATCCAATGACTGTGTCTACCTCTGAAACTGATGAGAAAGAAACTGAAACTGAGAAAGAAAAATCAATTACATTGATTTGTTCACAGAATATAGTTGTATTTAGTTTTTTCACGTGTATGCACATTTTTGATTTGGAACGAAAAAAGGAACAAGTAAAAGCCTTTCCCCCCCAAACTGATGAAGGATTCTGTCAGTAATGGAAATACTGACCTTAAAAGACCTTAAAGCTTTCTCACGTGTAATGGTTTTCTAAGACACATTATGTAGCATGGAAGGGTTGTTTTCCGTTGTGTTATTTTCCTGAGGTTTAATCCATGTAATCCGGTTTTTACCATGTGTGCCTCTGAGCCTCTATGATATTCGTTTACTTCCCCCTTAAGACTGTCAGCACTTCACAGAAGAGGAAAAACTCTACTTATTTTCCTTCCCTGCACAGGCATGTGCATTTTTTTAGACTGGGGCAGATGGAACACAGTGTTTTTGCCATTTAAGAAATTGAATTATGTATTTGCATAGGTGTAAATGCATAGTAAGATTATTATGGCTAATGAAAGATGTTACAAAGACAAAAACTTTTTTTTACAGTTTTTTTGAGTATTTTAAATTTAACTATTACATTTGCATTTAAATACAGAAAAATAAGAAAATTAACAAACAAAAATATCAAACAAATTACTTTGCCACATTGCATGTTTTGTCATTTGTGAATGTAAGTAAAATTTGTAAATGTTTTCTGGTAATGACCTGTGACATGTTTGCTAAGGCATGTGCACATTTCAATGTGAATCCACAGTATGATATGACATTTATGAGTAATTGCAGAATCTTTGGACCAGGTAAAATCAGTTCGGTCCCACTGTCACTGCAGAATTGTGTAACTTTGTCTGTAATAGAACCTCCATGTTGAGCTTATGCAAACCATCTCATCTCCCTGACAGACTTGATCTAGTAGCAGGTACCTCACTGAGCTCAGATGTGTGTCATCAATATTTCATATGGAGAGGAGACATTTTTTAATTTGGGTATGAACAAATGCCATCAGACTCCCCACCTGAGTCCCCCTCTGTAGACAAGGCCTGAGCATGTCTTTTCAGTGCCCAAAGTAATGGGAAAAGGGCGATGAAAATACCAAGGGGAGTTTTAGCAGCTTTTGATTATTCTCTGCCTCTCTTTCTGTCTCTAGTCAAGTACCTACACACTGAACGAATGACAAATGCATTTAAATTCAAAAGTGGATCCCCCGAATTACTCATTACTGATTGCTTTCGATTCACACTAATTTGCTAATGAATCATTTTGTGAACCAATGGATAGACTCAAAAACAACAATTTTACAGTTTTAAACAACAGCAATGTTCAGCTGATGATTTGTTTTTGTTTTTTTTACGCAGCACATTATACACTATCTATCTATCTATCTATCTAAATATCTATCTATCTATCTATCTGTCTGTCTGTCTGTCTGTCTGTCTGTCTGTCTTTA